TATAAACGCGTATCCGTCCGGCCCACCGCTGAATACCAGCGGTGGGGCGGTCGTGCCAGTCGTATCTCGTCGCGCTGCTAGGCATGAGGTGATAGACTCTATCCCCACACGCTTAGCAACGCGGCGAGATATGGCCGCCCCACCGCTGGTATTCAGCGGTGGGTCGGACAAATACGCGTTTATTTGCCAATCTTCAAAAATTAATATCTCGTTAACGATTGCGACTTTTGCAAAATGGTAGAGGACTTTTCTGTTCAGTTTAATCTGCTTTATCAGCCCACGAGATTTTAGGCGGTTATTATGGGACACCCTGTATATGCTATATATTAAGAGTTGACAGCATTTGAAAGTCTCATTTTAGAAAATGTACTTTATCAGTTGTCGTAAAGATAAGTGGTTTCCTTATTTTTGAAAAGAGATTATAGAAGGAACATTCCATTTTTGTAAAAACAAATCTTTTTAAGATTTTTGATAAAAATACAAACAATACATACAAACAACTTTGATATGATACTATAAACAATAAAGATAAGTAAATACCATACTTATAAGTCCACATTCTTTTTTCGATTAGTATTTTAAGAGCTAAAAGCATTTCTTTTACTTCATAAACAAAAAAAAAGGAGGGGGAGACAAATTAAAAAGAGCTCGGACGGAGGCTCACTGCAACAGTCGGTCGGTGAACAGTGAGAAAAATATACAAGAGAAACATGAACTACTACGTTTCAATTCAAGAGGATAAATCGTGTGAGAGACCGTAAGTATTTATAATTTTTTTTATTTTTTTAAATATGTCTTCAGTTACTTAGATGTATTCTTTTTACAGTAATTCGTCTCATACCTCGAGACCTCGGTATACGCCTCATATTTTGGGAAGAAGATTCGCTTTGACAACAACAGCTTACAAATATCTTGATGTTGGAATCAGCGTGGGACCTGTGTCATCTGTAGAGCTGCTTATTGGTGACAACCGAGGAAATCAAATAATTCTGCCTTATGCTGGTTGGAAAGCGTTTGTCGAAAGACGTGCTGACATCGAACAACTCTTGCAGTCTGCTGAGGTATCATCATCATCATCGCTAAAGATTCACGATTTGACCGTACAACTTGTAAAAATGTACGAGTCGAATATCGTAAAATTAACTTTACGTGATACATGTATGCACATGAAGCCGTCAACTGTGCTCTTCATGCTTGATCTTGAACACTGTATCAAGCATGTGTACTTTGAATTAAGCCAAAAAATTTGTTGTGTAAACGAAAAATATCAGTATTTTATAAGCTACATACGCGACAATTGTATTGCGAATAAATATGATGCAATAAATATTTTGTGTAAAATATACGACAAAGCTTCACCTGTGAACTAATAGCTTATGCTTCTAATAATATTGTGTATGATGCGATACATAAATAAAATGTGTATTAAACATACATCATGTGGTAAAATATTTTTCTTTTCGTTCCTTTTTCCTTAAAATTAAAATTAAAAAAGCGTTCTATTGCATGATGAAGAAAAAAAATTCCAACGGGAGGGAGAGAGAACGCGAACCTTCCAATGAGTGGGAAAGAGAGAGAACATGCGGTTGAGAAAGAATGTGAACCTTTGACCAAAATGGCGGCACTGCCAACGTGGTGGCGCTGCAATCGAAAATGGCGGCGGCGGACCACGTAGTGGCGGTGGACCCTCGCGAGCCCGGCACTGCCAACGTGGTGGCGCTGCGCTCGAAAATGGCGGCGGCGGACCACGTGGTGGCGGTGGACCCTCGCGAGCCCGGCACTGCCAACGTGGTGGCGCTGCGCTCGAAAATGGCGGCGGCGGTGGACCACGTGGTGGCGGCGGACCCCCGCGGGCCTCATCAAGAAAGAACATCGTTAATAATTGATTACAACTTAATTATTAAATTGATTGATTAAATACCATTTAATTAATTGATTAATTATCAATTAATTGATGGATTATCATTTAATTGCTTAATTAATTATTAATTAATCGACAGATTAAAAAAAATGGCCTTTAATTGATTGATTAATTATTAATTAATCGATAAATTATCAATTAATTAATTATCAATTAATCGATAGATTATCTATTAATTGATTGATTAATTATATATTAATTAAATTAATTAACCCCTTTGATTAACCCTTTTGACCTACATCCCCCCCTTGACCTACATTCCCCCCACCCTTGATCTTGACTTACATTTGGTCCAGAATCCCCCCTATATTACTACTGTCGTTAATTCGTTAGATGTGTTATAAACAAATGGATAATGCAAGAGGTTTAGAAATTATTCTATTTAATTTATTAGTGTTAAATAAAAATTATCAAAAAAATGGATCATGGATATCTTTAGCTGATGATTAATGGATTTTAAATAATTCCAATGATTCAGACCGATTTCTAAGTCAAAATTAATAATTACTGCATAGACAGATTTCAGATATCATCGTTAACTTGTTAAATATCGCGTTATAAACAAATGGATAGTTTAAGAGATTTAAAACTGATTTCGTTTAATATATTAATGCTAAATAACAATTGTCAAAGAAATAGATTATTGATATCTTTATCTGATTATTAAATAATATACTTTGCAAACAAATGCAATATTTCAGTCTAATTTATAAGTCTTAATTAACAATTTACATACAAACAGATCTCAAATATCATCGTTAATACCCGATTATCAAATAACACACTTTAAACAAATGCAATAGTTTATTCCAATTTCTAAATCTAAATTATAATTAACAATTATCAAATATCATCTTTAATTTGTTATAAAAGATATCGCGTTAAACATCTTATTATTTTTATTCACAAACAACAAGAATATATGCAATGATGACACATAAGGACACGTTATGTTTTCAAACTGCGCGCGTATAACTTCACATAAGAACGCATCTTGACGAACAGTCGCTCGCTTTGTTAATGCGCCTTGGCATATTATTATTATATATGTTAATGTTAATGCGCCTTGGCATATTATTCATAATCTGAATAAAAAGAAAAACGACGAAGACTGAAACCGTCAAAGTGGCATTTTCGTAAACTCGATTTCGAGATCTCGGGATTGACTGCACCAATTTCATTCGGACTGGTCTCAATCGAAAGGCTCGTATCGACATTATATAATGAAAGTCATTAGATTTTTCATTAGAACTTTCGTTTCCGAGATATTAAAATCAGAAATCTGACAAGGTAAAACTTCGAGATAAAGCCAGCAGTAGCACGGCAGTGCCAGTGCCGTATACTCACAGGTCATCATTCGACTTTTATACACTTGGCGTCGCATAGTGGGGCCAAACGACATGCGTTGTTTCAAAAAGGTCTAGAGCTTTTGAATTTCAACCGATTTTGACGTTCTTTTTTTTTAAATAATCGTTTTGAAATTTGCAAGAGATCCCTCGTGGCCAATTTTTAAAAAAGATTGTTAGGAATTAGTGATACACATAAATATAATGATTTTTTCATGAAAATAAACTGTGACTGCTGAATAGTTGTATATAATATATTTAAATAATTAATAAACGAGTACATGGGTATTGTGTGTGTGCGTGTGTGTGTGCGTGTGCGTGTGCGTGTGTGTGCGTGTGCGTGTGTGAGCGTGTGTGGGCGTGTGCGTGCGTGTGCGTGTGTGTGTGTGTGTGTGTGCGTGTGTGGGGGGATGCGAGCGCGCGCGTGCGTTCATTCTTCTGATGGAATTAATAAATTTTTTGCGTCTAGATCTATCATTAATTTTGTTTTTTCCGGTATCTGTCGTAGGTAGATTGGATATGTACGGATCTGACGAAATAAATAATTTATGCAGTAAATCTTCATTTGTATTAATTCTACTACATTTTCGCGTATTGAATTCACGATAATGTTTTAAATCTTTATTGCGTGATTCCTGGGCTTCTTCTGATAATAAACCTATAGGAATAAGTCTTTTGTACTTATAAGTATAACTATGTGTTGTAGAAGATATCGATTGAACCAGTGCTTCAACTTTTTTTAGTCCTATATTTGCCAATTTTCGTCCAGAATGTAGTTCAAGATTGAAGTCACTCTCGTCTGCATTATAAATTTCTTCAACTTCAATAGCTGGGATGTTAAACTTTATTTTGAAACAAACGATTTTGCGACATCTTGTAGATTGTCAATATCTTGTAGTGTTGTGTCCTAAATGTTGTTATCTTCGGGAAACAATTCTGTGTACTCTCTTAAATTTCCAAATCCTCCATTTATTTGCCTTGAATTCGGGTAGGTCCACTTGATCTTTTGCTTCCAAAGCCCAAAATCTTAAATTTATATCACGAATTATAGATCTTCTTTCAACAGTTTCTTTAAACTTTTGCAAAACAT